CGTATATAAATTCTGAATTTTTTTGCATTTTCATTGTAGAAAGTTGTTTGGAAATATGACTGCAGAGGCACCTCAACAAGGATAGTGTTCTAAAGATAATGGAGGTAAGAATTTGAAATAATACAAATGTAAAGTTGTTTGTGTATCAGATTACTTCATATGGCAATGTATGGCAAAGTCACATATGCAAAGATATATATATATATATATATACAATACACAACTGAAAATTGCTTTCTCACAAACTTAAGTATTGAGTACTCAAAAGTATTTTGGATGTTATTAACTTTAATATTGTAACCCATAGGTAGACAAATATATAGCTGGTTGTATATTCTAGAAGTTATTTATGCATATCATTATGCACATGATGCATATATATGCAGAACTTGAGTCATTTTATTCATTATCATGATTGTAAAAAAAAACTGTTTTTTTTTTTTTATTAAATGACTTTCATGCAGTTTTATTGTGTTCATTTCTCTGAACATTGAAGTATTAGGTATTAGACTTAATTAACTGTCTATTTTTTTTCCAGTTTGTACATTTAGGTCTGAAAAGTCCGATAATTTTTATGGTTGAATGTAGCTGGTGTTGAAATATTAACTCTTCCTCCATCTCTTTTGGACATATTTAAAAGGCATGAAAGGGTAAATTGAATTGAAGCATATTTAATTTTAGGGATATCTTTCATCAGTAAGGCCATATAAATTTAAAATTTAGATTCTCATCCTAATTTGCTAAAAAATTGGGGCGGGTGGGCGGATTTTATTTTTTATTTTTTATAGATGAAAGTATCAACAAAACATTCGTACACGTAAATTTAGCATATGTTAATGCCAATATGAATAGATTTTATTGTTTTCATATTCTTTTAAATATCTACAGAAGATTCTTGTTATAGAAAATTAATTATATATAACGTTAGTTTTATTAACAAATTATCAAGTACACGGATACGGCACACGCCAAAAAAATGAGGTGCTGATCCTAATAAATTGCATATGCATGTTTTCTCATCGGCCTTTTCCCAAATACCTTATAGTTTTACCAACAACTCCTGTTCTATGTGATATACAGATATCACAGATTTACACTGTCCTGATACATTCAATCGTTCTTGAGACTTGACATGTTCGACATTAAAATATATCATATTTGCAAAACAGGATTGTGTAAATCTGTAAAATATTCTAGTCTACTGAAAAGCCTAGGCCTGAACAGTTTTAAGATTTAACATTTCCTTAGCACTATTATTCTCTAAAGTCTTTGGACGATGTTTTATTTTTTTTTAATGCAAAATCACATACAACCGGAGATCGTTATTTAAAACTTGAGTCTTGACCATGTGTATTTTCTTCGTCTGTTTTTACTTGGTTAAAATCTCTTTAAAAACTTGCCCATGCCAGTGATGGTATCTAGATGTGTTTATGTTATTTTTGCTTTTCTGCCTTCTCTCTACTGACAAATTATCTTTTCCTTACATATATTTAAACTGCTTTTATTGCCGATTTTTCTCCATTCTTCACATAGTTTTTTGGCTATAAATAGCGCCACGCGACTTTTAATACAGACGGGAGATAACTCTTAAATTTTGACCCAGATTCTTGCGGAATAAAAATACATGAAAATAATACGTTTGGCACCCAAAAAGCAAAATAAAAAACAACGGGGCGGGGCACTTTGAGAGGGGCGGGCGGGGATGAGAATCTAAAGATTAATTTTACCTGGCCTAAGTGCACTTTTTTCCAATTTAATGTATGGTTGTGTTCAGTCTTTGATTTTACATAACTAACATATATAGTACCAATCATTTCCATAATTATTCTCAAAATTGTATGCATATTAGACTTGTTAAATAGAATGTTTGGACCTTGAATTCATACTTCTTTATGGTTTTAACACATGGGAATTTAATGCTTGATTGTTTTTGTTGGTTATGTGCTTTACATACTTTCAAAAGTACAAAGGATCCAATTTCAGTAGCTGTATATATGGCCTTTGGCACTCCTACCCTGCTATAAAATGTGTAAACATATTAGTGTTAATTGTTTAGTTTTCACCTGTGTGTCACCATTAAGAAATTTCACCATTAAGATCAAGACTTGTTAATTGTTAAAAGGCTAGCGGCAATCTATATAAAAACAGTAAATTAAATGTAAAATTGTGAAAAAAAAGTTTCATTGATATTACCCTTATCTTGACCTTGGTTATAATGGTGATAAAAATTCTTTCATACATGTATACATGAATATTTCTGCCACTGGTACTAGTACTTCTATAACCCTGTCTAGATAGAATTTGCATGAATATCTGAAAAGGATATAAGTATTTTTGTTAATCAGTAATATTTAAAAGAATTTCTGTTTTCTGTGTTTTTAGAACTAATTATCAGAGACCAGAGGAGCCTCTGTGATATAGTAAAATGTCCATCATCCTTACATCTGTTGTCTGTCTGTAAACAATTAATTTTTCAAAAAGGCTACTCCTTCTTAGTCCTACAGTTTCGGTACAATTTCAGTGTAACTTGGTACACAAGCAGACTACACTAAGATACATAATTCTTTTTAATGATTTTTGATTTCAGTCAATGGTGTTGCCATGGTTACTAGATAGAAAATTCTGTGAAATTCTTTCAAAAAGGCTACTCCTCCTACAGTTTTGGTCAAATTTCAATAAAATTAACTTGATGAACAAGTAGACTTCACTAATTAAAGTTACATAATTTTGTTTATAATGAACTCTCTTTCCATGGTTACTAACACAGAATTTTCTGTGAATTTTTTTTCTAAAAGCTACTCCCAAATGATATTCACTGTAATATTAAATTGCCACTGCTTTTTTTTTTAAAAGAGGAAAAAAGGTGAAAATGCTAATATATATTTTTTTTTATGATCAGGAAAAGCTTGCAAAAAAGGATGTAGAAATTTAATATTTATGTTAAATAGCCTTTGAAGATTTTATTGATATCGTAAAGATCAACATGTTTACAAGCGGAAGAGTTTAGTAAGCATTAATTATCTAGAAAAAGATCTGATTGGTTGAATTTGAATTTTGATTACGTGTACATATTAAATGTGGATATTACATATCCTTGATGTAGAGGATTTTTTTTTCTTAATATAAAAATCTTTGCAAGAGGAAAAAGACAGCAGAAGAAATATCAAATTTTATAAATAGAAATATCCTTGTTAAACAAATATTGTCTCTTGGAACATTTAGCTTTACCAATCCTCACAGTAAAAACAAACGTATCTAATTATGGGAAGGGGGTGGGGTGGGTGATAAAGGGTGAACAGGAATTTAATTAGTAACTATATATTATGTAAATTAATACCATAAACATCTTCAAACAAGATGTGTTTGTGAAACACTATGCACCCGGCGGCAACAAAGTTCGAAAAAGCTATTTTTAGCATATAGGTCACAGTCAAGGTCACAAGGTCATTGACCTTGGTGTCATTTGAAAGAACTTAATGAGTGGAGTATGCATACCAAATATGAAGTCTCTCTCTCTCATGGTTCAAAAGTTATGGTGAAGGTTAAAGTTGACAACAGACAGACAAACAGACAGACAGGACAAAAACAATATGCGCCCCCGATCTATCGATCTGGGCGCATAAAAAGGTTAATTATCAAACACATTACCATATGGTATTCAAGAACACTGAAGACCTTGAATGATTGTTTTGTTTGTTTGTTTGTTTGTTTAACGTCCCTTTCAAGAATTTTTCACTCATATTGTAATGAGATGCCACCACTTGCTGGTGGAGGGCTGCAAATTTTAGACCCATACTCGGCACTTGGGGCAATTGAGCAGTGAGGGATCTTTTTTGTGCCAGCACCTACTGTGACACTGGACCTCGATTATACAATCTCCTCTCTCCACGTTCCGCAGTGGGATTCGAACCAAAGGATCAACTCCTTATTCCACGACACTAGGACAAACGCTCAAACCACTGGGCCACACGGGAAATGTTTTGAATGAAATAATGAAACTATTTGAATGCAATAGACCTGAACAGTACATGTACATCACAGTTGTGACATTTTGTTCAACACCTACATGTAGCTCAGAGTTCAAAATTCATCAATATTGTTTACAATACTATATTGTGTGAATTCTTTTTTTCCCTATCTGTTGAGCAAATAATTGTTTACCTGAATTTAAAATGTTATTCATGAAAGGAATTGAAGAAATTTTGATATGATTGAAGATTCATTAAATAAACTCATAAATTTGTTTTTTGTTTTAGTAATATGGATATATTATACATGTATTAAATGAAACAGCTTAAAGTAAAAATTTTGTTATTATGTCTTTGACTGAATTTTGATATCTGAGACTGAGTTTAGAACAATGACGTAAATTCTACTAGGGTTATCGCAAAGATCAAGGAGATGCGGCAGCCATTATTTTCCAACAAATTACAAATGTCATCAACAAATTATCAATAAATTTAAATTGAGTTTCCTCTAATTTTGACTGTGTTCACTAGGAAAAGGGAAGAGGTATCTCTTGATTGTGATGCAAATTGGTGGGAAAAAAATAGATACTGAGTAAATAAATTACTGGAACTTAATTGTACTATATGTCATGATATACATCAATGTGCATCACTGAAAAAAATTGTATTAAACCTTAAATAAATTTGAACAGAATCTCTGACAGGTAGGTTAGAATTGCTATTGAATTTAAATGCCTAAGGTTTATATAAGCTCCACCCACACTAACAAACCATACCTGCTTAAGGACAAGTCCTTTATACTCAATTCTTTAGTGTCACTGTTTTTGACTGTGATGGAAAAAAAGAAAAGATTAGATTAGATGAGGTAATCTCCCCTTGAAGGTGTTTTCATTGGGAATTAGGAGAAAAGGAATTTTGCAAGTGCATGATTATTGTGGTTTTGATCTACATGTTGTGTTACAGGCACTCAAGTAGAACATACCAAATAAATGATATTGTCAGTTTGTGGATATTCATCTTGAATTTTATTTCAGATTTAAAGGGATGGATGAATAGTGTGTTTGATTTTAAGGACAGGAGCACTTGCCTAACTTCAATGTACTGCAGGTATACATGTATAAATCTTACAATATTTTTTGATTCAAAAAGTTTATTGGGGTTTTAATTATCATCTTTATAATTTATTTGTTCCAATTTTTTTCAAGAGTCAGTGCATGCATTAAATTCACAGCAATATTCTGTTGTTGAGCTTTTAATGCAGGATTTTTCTACATAGTAAAGTGTATGTATTTCTGCATCTCCACATCGGCAAATGTATCTGATTTTTTTTTTCTAAATCAGCTGACTTACTTTTGTAAATGAATAGAACTTTTTATCAGTGTTGTGCTTCAATGAATCTGTAAATGTATGATCTCAGGTATTTAATGCAGAACCTATGAGTGGATTAATGTAAAAGCCACCTTTAACTTTATAAGCATGAGATAATTCTTAAATGTATTGCATTCCAAATATTCTTGATAACAGAGCATATGAAGTGTATATTAGATAGAGTATTTAAAGGTAAACCATGTATATACATGTACTTATTCAAGTTTGAGATTAAATTTACTGATAGGTACCCTCTGTAGATGATCTTTTCCCTGATTTTGCAGGTAACTGCTTTGGGTCACTGGACAGGTGTGACAATACAGGCTATTTTTAGATACAGTCTATCCATTGAAAATCCCACCTGTTTACCTATAAGGTTGGTGTTTACCTGTCCTAAAAGGATTTTTGTCTGTGAAGTCTGTCATGGGTGTTTGCATGACAGATTTTGTGAGGGCAGAAATATTGCAAAATTTGTAAAGTTAGATTTGAATTCATTTCAGATAATAGGATACGATTTCATAAGTGAAAAGGAGTTTTAAAAATGTGTCAAACTGCTTGCGTGGCCTAGTTGGTTTAAATTTCTGTGGTGGGAGAAAGCTTGGACTACTGAATTCATAAGTTTTTGGAGGTAAGAACATTTTTTTTTTTGAGTTTAAAAAAATGAATGCTATTTAAATGATAGGAAGAATCAGTTATACCTTCACATATCTTTATTTTTGTTTTATCTGTACTGTCATCTCTATACAGTTTCATGATTTTGTTCAGATTGCGCAACACTGCTGTGTTTATAAAAGTCATATAACATATAGGCTAGCATATACAATCTATTATTGTGTCAAATGGTGACAGGTGTTTGTCATGCATATTGTTAGGCCATTGTTTTCACCCTGAATTGTCTACGGATTTTTCGTTTGCCCTATCATGACAAAGAGTGGGTGTGACTGGTCGACTGGGGATGCTTACTCCTCCATGATACCTGACCCCACCTGAGACTGATGTTTTTAGAGGTCTGTGTTTGTGCTGCTCCCAATCTGTATTATTCCAATGGACTTTTGAGCTTGATAACTGTTTCATTACATCATATTTCATTCAAAAAACTGTAGCTTCATCTTACATAAAAAAAAGAAGTTTCATGCAGTTTTTAGAGTTTGTCAATCAGCTTTCAGAAGTTGCATGATGTTGCCAGTAGCTGGCATATTCTGCAGTGTTGTCACTATTTTTTCAGTGAATTATATCTGTATTGTGTATAGGTTACTGGGACACAAGTTAATTAAAAGTCATTGACACATCAGATGATATGAATTCAGGGTCCCCATCCGTACATTCCTGTACCACAGCCAGGCTGTGTGGTACTTAAGTTCAACTGTTACAGTAGTGGGAAATGTGTATCGATACACACTGACCCAAAGGCGATATACACAACAGGTGGTGACTGACATTATAGAATGCGATTACATCTGAAAAAAAGTCTGACTCTAGATCTGTTGGACAGAAAATTTATTGATCTGTTTATATTTCTGTCCCAAGACGTGGTGTAAAGAAACGTTTCAAACAGTAGAATATACCTTTATATGGAGATCGACTCGATTAAGTGGTGTTTTTCGGTGTAAAGTGCATTTTGATGCACTGTTGTGTGGGTGGTGCAATGCTTTAGAGGTATGTGTTTATATGTTTGTATAGATCACCTGTGCACCTGTAGATAAGGTGACATGAGGATTTAGTATTGAAATTTTTACATTACACTAAGAAGCTTTGTAGAGTTTTATGATAATAATTATGTGACTACAATGATCATGATGATTTCAACTTTGACTAGTTATTAGATACAGTTACTGTTAGAAAAGTCTTAGATATAATGATAAACTTAAGAAGTATAACTGTATTTTTTCAATAAATTGTCACATATCATTTTGTCCTAATGGGAGAGTTGTTCACATGCGATGATCTGAAAATAGTTAAAGATTTTTTTTTTACTTGATATGCAAAAATCGATCAACACATTTTACGCATATTGGACAAAAAAAAAAATCAAAAATGTTTCAAATACAGGTAAACAGCATTTTCTCAAACTCACAGGATATGCAGGCTTAATTAAACTTCAAGATATTTCTGAGGATTTGATGTAGCAGGGGTAAAAAAACAAGAAATTTAAATTGGTTTAGACTGCCAACTCACTTCAACATATCCCCCAGGTATTCGAGATATTAGTGAGATATCGAAGTTCAAATGTAATACATTGGTCCAAGAGAGGTTAGCTGCAGATGTATATGTAATACCTAAACATAACATGTACATGTATGTATGTGATCAGTTTATACATGCACTAACTCCTACAGAATCACTTCTGCAGTGACACGTGCAGAATGTGGAGTGACTTTTTAATTTTAAATTTTAAAAGATTTCTCTGTAAGTACTAAATATGATCACAGAGAACTACAGGAGGTTTTCTACATTGTTGTCATCAAAATGGAGATTTGAGATGAAATTCCAGTTAAATGTCATTCAAGTGTCAGTGACCCATTATTCTGAATTGCACAATAAGTGCCAAGTAAACTGAAAGGGTGGAACTTAAAAGCACATTCGCAACTGGATGGGTGGAATTTAATTCATTGAAGGCAGAGAAATAAATGGATTATATAGTGTTTCTTTGAAACTAAATAACTAATTAAAACATTATGAGTGATTAGGACCTTTAATTATTAGTAGTTGTACTTAATTAATATTATTATGTAATTCATACTTCATTACCAATGTGAACACCTCATTAAGGCTAACATTAATTAAATTGGTCTGTTCAGGATTGTTGTGAACAACAAGTGAATAGATTTAGGTGAAAAGTTGTCAACTGCATGACACTCCCAAATCTCCTGTTTTGGTTCTGTGTTTACCGTTAAGGTATTGGATGTTTAAAATTGAACTATAAACACAAATTTTATGTTTAAAAAACAGGTGTAAATAATGGAAAAGTCAAGAAAATATATTAATTTTTATGTTATTTATCTTTCAGGAATGCAAATGTCATTTGGTGACAAAACCTAGCTGCTGATTCTAAGGCATACGGTCCCTGTGTTAACTGTTTCCATACAAGAATAATTGAACATTTCATCCTACTGGATATTTATAAATTTTCAAAAGTATGTAGTAACGCAGATCACAATTGGCTGAAATCCCTGAAGGGGATTGTTTTTCCTCCAATCATGGAAGATCTTCTAAATCTGGACAATTTGTCTCAGGAGGAGAAGGAGACGATCCTCGGTGTCCTCCAGAAGGACGAGATGGTCCGCCAATCCGAGGACAAGAAAATCTGGTGCGTAGCTCCCTTAACTGTTCGTATGAATTTGTTAATGAATTTTTATGGAATTTTTTAGCATGGCTTTGCACTGTGATGTATATAGAATTATAGATCAATTTCATTTCATTCGAGATGAATCCATATATTCCTAGAGTCAATCCTCACCAGGAATAATTTTTGTCTGGTTATGAAATATACCAGCTAAGAATTTAAATTTACAAGGAGGTCAAATGTTTGTCAAATTTAGAGGAACTTACATGTAGCTACCAAAAAGTAGTTTGCATCAGCTATATACATGTTATCATGATTGTTCAGTCTCAGCTGAACAATACAGTCTCAGCTAGCTGAACAGTACTGTAATAATTCAAATCATGACTTTGGAGGGGGGGGGGGGGGGGGGGGATGGGGGAAGTTAACCAGTACAATTTATAAAACTGCATCTATAAACATGATAAAAGGCATTTTTGAAAAAAAAAATGTTTTTTTAAAAGTATTAAACCTCTTTGTTATCAACCAATATGATATCAGTTTACACTAATGCATGATTATAGGTGGATGTATGATGTAGAAACATCTGTGTCATGATGGCTGTCACAGCTGATACACATACAAGTGTGTCGACTCAATTATTGGTAAAAATGTGTCAAATCTTGTGTAATATCTATGATAATTAAGCAACAATGTTGACAGTCTCAAAAATATTGCATTCATTTGTTATTCATTATCATATTGATATATTGCATGTTTATAAACAGTTTCAAACTTACGTGGAGTGGGGAGGGGGGGGGGGGGGAGAGAGAGAGGGGAGTTACATCCATATCTGTTAATATACAGATAAACCTAGTAAATATTAGTAAATGATACTATCATATTAATTTTTTAGCATACAAATTTAGCAAGACACTTTCCAGAAAATTCAGTTTAAAATGCCATATGATTATGACACTAGGACTGCTATTTCTGCATGTCTATCATGTAAAATTTTCTTCTTAATTAAGACTAAATATTGTACAGGATACAAAAACGCATCATATATATACTGTCAGTTTTATGAATTAAGGCTTGGTTACATGTAACATCACATATTAAAAAAAGAAAGTAATATTACTGTGACTACAACATAAATATTTCACATTGTACATGATATCAGACAGTTTGTCCAAAAGCTTTCTAGGGTTTGAAAACAAATTGTTGTTTATTGCCTGCAGGAAATTGTTTGTATGACAATTTTAGGATTAAATTTGTACTTTTCACCCATATTTTAAACAGATAGGCTTTAAATGATTTTAACACATATTATTGTCCTTCATACCTAAAGGACTTTTATGCACTGGGTTGAAAGCACTCTCATAAACCTTGAACTTACGTGTTAGGGTTACATGGGTTACTACGTGGCACTTGATGCATCCTTCCGTATCTGATTCATCATAAACTTTGAACTTTTAAATTAATGAAATATTTATTTGCGATATTAAAAAGGTTTAACAAAATTTTGAGAATTTCTTGAGATCTAGGTGAAAGACTTGAAAGTTGTTGCAGCTCAGAAAATAAAAGATTATAATTAAAGTACAAAATTAGTATACAATGTACATTTTTTTAAAAATGTTTATTCCTTGTAAAAATTGTCCTGTGCATGCATTTCTGTCATGATAATGCATGACTGTAATTGCTTAATATTTATTTACTGAATATTGTATACGTATGACTTGAAAAAAATTTTGATTTAGGATATGAAAAGTGGAAAATTTTATTTTTTGCTTAATGGCCTGGATATAGAGATAATTAAGTATAAATTTTCATATTTTGAAGAGAAACTCGAAAGTGTTGATTTCAGAATGAGAATATAAATTGCATGCATTTTAAGATTTCGATTCATTTGTTCAGGAGGAGCAAGGGACTGCTTGTTATCTCATGCATGGCACTGTAATTTGTACGAAAGTTAATTAATGTTTAATTACTGGAAATGGCGGAATCTGGAATGAAAGATACTTTTTGTCTAGTACACTCATCAGACATATATGGCCCTTCCTCCATATTTCTGAAAGTGGAAATACTTGTACAACAGCATTTTCTGATCTTGAAAATGTTGAGACACTAAGTAATTACTTAAATCTAATATAGAAGACTTTTTGCAACAGGAAAGATAACTCTAGCAATTCTAAGTTTTAATCAGACTCCTATGATTTCAAAATGATATCAATTTTGTGCACACTTTTGTAGTCAGCTGAAGGCAGAGATCCAGGCTATTCGTATGAAGAGCGTGCTTCGAGCTGGTGATGATCTCTCTAAGATGTGTGCACGTTGTCATGCGGAGCTCGGGATGTTCTTCAATCGTGGTGACCTTTGTCCCAAATGTCGCTTCCGAGTGTGCAATATGTGTAAAGAAAATATGTTCAGGGGACAGTGGCTCTGTGTACTGTGTTATAAACAAAGGTTTGTCAGCTGTTGAGCGTGATTAAAAAAAAAAAAAAAGAGCAATATTCTCGATGTTATGTATACAATATATACAGATCGAGGAATTCATTGGTACAGTGGTTCCCGTTTTATCGAATAGTCAAGTTGTCAGCCTAGTTTTATCCGAATAGCCGAAAATTAGAATAGCCGATTGCTCCATACCGAGTCCAAAGATAGATGTATAGAGCTACATGTATTGATAATACATCGTAGCGAATTTCAAGCTTGCACTTTCGTTTTTTCTTTTGACATGTTTACTTAATGACTTTACTAAAAATAATTTATTTCACTTACTTATGAATTTAATATGAAATTTTTTTTCAAATAAATTGAATATAGAATATATTCTTTGATAGTTATTGCCATCTTTCTTCAGCACATGTTTACATTCCTTCTTCGATGGTCGCCATTTTGGAAACGGAAGTAGACTAAATGCTTGACTAATAACCGTAAACTATTTTTCCCTGGATAGAGTGTAAATTAAAAATAAACAAAAATATTAAATATATATAATTGTTGTTTTTATTTGTTTCTTTAATACGGTTACGTATTTTATACTGTGTGTGAGTTTACCAGTCTCGTTCTTGTCTGCTGAAGAGAGATTTTGAGAGCCATGTGGAGAAAGATGGTATGAATTTTGAGACGTATTTTTATAGAATGGGCCATTTGTGATTTTTACCATAAATTTTGCACTGAAAAATGAATAAATATTAAGCCAATTGACCAAGTTAAACGATTGAATAGGCTTATTTCATTATCCAAGCAAATTGTCATACACAAGCTAATCAGTTCAATAATTAAAATTTCACGCTGAAATAATACAAATAATTGTCATAATTAACAAGTGCATCATCGAACCTGATCACCACAACTGTAATCAAAACATATCTATTTACTATGCCCACTATTGACACAGGTAAGGTGCCTGTGTGCGTCCAGCCGTAACTAATCCCCTTCATTGTCGTACTCAAGCCAGTCAAGGTAATTGGTGTCAAACTGTGTAAACAAAGGCTTCACATACGAAGTTGGAGGTGTGAACAAAGTGCTGATTATCAAAAAACACTATGATAGTCCAAATTTTTGTATCGGATAAAACGAAAGTCCAATATTTTCTCATCAGAATATCAGGTGAAATTATTAATAAATATATAAGAAATGGTTTTGTGCTCTGATATTATATTGAAATAGCCGAAATATTCGTTAAACCGCTATCCGATAAAATGGAAGCCACTGTAATACCTTATCACATGAAACAGTACTGAATCTTTGTCTGAGTACATCATAATTAGTATATAAAAGCCAAATTTGATAAACAAATGGTGAAGATATTATCTGTAGATATATAAAATTAATACATATTCCCAAGTTACATCAAACATAAAGTTTCAAGATCCATTTGTAGGCAGCTGAAATTTTTTACGGGAGACTTGAGTTCTGGTCAGCTGTCTCGATGGCCATCAGGGGCAGATCTGGTCAAAGCCTCCATCCACAAAATGTCTGTGTTCAAAGGTAAGGCTGCTGCTTCCTACTAACAGTGTTACAACCAACTAACAGTGATGTGAACCATCAAACAGTGCTGTAAACCAAGCAGAGAAAGAGTTATCCCTCTTATATTAAAGTGCACAGTTCTACAAGAAAATTCCTGTTGTACATAACTTTTGGCTGTTCTGTTAAGAAAAAAAGTTCATGAATTGATAATTTCTGCCATTCTTTTAACCAGAGAAGTCCCCTGGCTGGTCTCAATAAGTTACGACAAATGTTTTTATATACGATGTTGGTTTTGTTTGACTTATTAAGCAGCATGTCTCTTCAAACTCTACAAGAAAGTTCTGTGTGCACTTGCTGGCTTTGATCATTTTTTTTTCCAAAGAATTTCTTGATTGATACAAATTATATACCTCACAAATGTCCTCTATTACTGATCTAGTAATAAAGTTAAGATGTCTAATGGTAAATAAAGTGGGAAATTAAGAGATAACTCATTCTCTTGTAAAATATTAATGTCATATTCTAACAATCTGAACAGTCCCTCACTAGAAATGCAAAAAAAAAAAAGATCTTTGTTAAAGAAAAATCTTATGTATATTGTCTAAGTTATAAACAGATGAGAAAAACTGCCTAAAGCTGAAAGAAATGATGATGATCGATTGAAACATGCTTAGTAAATTATATATGCATATGAAAAAAAATTGAATAAAAATGGAATATTTTTCAATTCTTGAAATACTAAACAGTAGATTCCTAAATATGCACAAAGAATTATTGTGTATTTTCCCGAGAAGCATCACTTGCGAAATAAAACTACTCGCTTTTATTTTTATGATGCTAAAATCCATGTAAAATCTCTTGATCAACCATTGAGTCATGAATTTATGTTTTCACGATTTGACGTCTAAAGAGTCAATTCTTGATATTTAGTACTCAAGTAAAATGAGCAATCTACAGTATAGTCATGATAAATATTCTTATACATGGCAGAAAGAAGTCAATGCAAAATTTACAACAGGTCTGCTGTCATCTGGCTCTGAATCCAGACGCAATTGATTTTCAATTACTGAATTGGTCTGCATAAAGCTTAGTGTCAATTTTTCTTGTGTGAAGACAAGTTATAAACAACTTTTCATTATCAGCAATAAAAATTCATCTTGTCTGGAATGGATCATCCATGAAGTTTCTTTGGCATGGTGATGTTATCAGATAAGCTTTTGATTTGATTGTCTGAAGTCTAAAGAGTTTATGGGGGAAAAAAATGGTGGAAAGGGGGGGGGGGGCTGACATTTATACTTTGCTTGTGAAATATGCATGGTTTATGATATTTTAGGGATTTGATACTAGTTTTTTTTTATTGATTAATCTCAGGTATATGTAATTTTTCATAAATGGATACGTGCAAATTGTTGAAAACTGTGTATAAGGTTTTTACTGTTAACCATTTTTTTGGGAAGGGGGGGAGGGGAGGAGGGGTTTAGATAGAATATTGTAATTTTTATGCCCCGCCATGAATATGGCCGGGGCATATAGAGTTTGTCATGTCCATCTTCCGTCCTTCTGTCTTTCTGTCCCTCCATCTGGCCTTCCATCATGCTTTGCGTTTTGCTCATTTCAAAGCTCAGTTTCAAAGAAAATGTTCAAAATATTTTTAGCAAACTTCATATGCTGATACATATTGATAAGAGCTATTCAACTGCATCAACATTTTTTGACCTTTAACTTTCCTTTGATCTTCACCTCACTTTTCTCAAATTAGTGTTAAGCTCAAAATAAACCATTCAAGATATTTTTATCAAATTTAATATGCTCAGTTTTAAAGAAACCATTCATGTTATTTTTATCAAACATCATTTGCTAATACATACTGATGTAGCCTTTCCAACTTTATCAACATTTTTTTTTTACCTTGACCTTTTTTGACCTTGACCTCACTTTTCTCAAATTAGTGTTTAGCTCAAAATTAAACCATTCAAGATATTTTTATCAAATTTAATATGCTGATATGTTTTAGTGAGAGCTATTCAACTGCATCATAAACTTTTTTTTTACCTCAAACTTTCCTGTAACCTTGACCTTACTTTTCATAAATTTGCATTTTGCATAGTTTTAAAGAAACCATTTACACAATTTAAGATATTTTTATGTGAGCTTATGCACTTATACATAATATTAATTTGGTGAGAATTTATCACCTATAGCCAATTTTTTTTTAATTTCAATTCTAAAGAAACTATTCAAGATATTCTCATCAAACTCTATACACTAATACAAATTTTCATGTTGCATTACTGATATACCCTCGAGGGGGGGGGGGGGGGGGATTCATATCCTATGGACATATTTCTAGTTTTCATTAAGGTTAATTTTCAAAAGTATTGAACTTCATGAAAATCCTTCATGCATGAATAATGTAATAAGCTTCTAAAATATAAAATATTTAGATAAATGATCCATCAGTGTGTGTTATTTTGTCAGAGTAAATAATCCATCATCATTGATTCATTTTCCTAATATCAGTGTTGGTGAAGGCTTAATTTCGATTGTAACAAATATTTACAAATATGTCACAGTAATAGTAGGGATACACCGTACTATAAATTATTGAAACAAATTCAATATTTATGTTAGATTTAGAACTTGTAACATTTCAATATTGTTCAGATGATCTGTGAGTTGAAACATGCATATGAATATTTGATTATTCTTACCAGGTAAAGGGAGGTAGAAAAAGTCTATAATGATAAAACTTAACAAAAGATAGCATATGCAGCCTAGCATCAAAGCTGTTTGATGTGATGTTGATCGAGCATGTAAATTTTTGCTAATTGGCCCAAAAGTGTGCTTTAATAACCTGAGTGCAGGCACATAGGAGCCCTGTCTAATTTGATGTAACAATAATGGAGAAAGAAAAGCTTATAATTGATTTTACTAGGTCTTCTTGCTCTGAAGGGCTCAGAAATTCATTGTTCCAGTTATCATAACCTCAGTCTGCTTCAGCGAGTCCTCAGCATGGGAATATTACTTGGTCTTAATGTTGATCAGTACTGTGGCAGATATACGCTTAATTAAGAATTTATTGGTAAGGAAAGACTGTTAATATATAGGTGCATATTTCAGTAGTCTATGTGGAGTAGCTATTTAAGTAGACCATCTATGGGGGGTTTGCATTGGTGTTATGTGTATATTGATTTGTGTTATGTTTCACGTTTGGTGTACTTAATATGGATTTTGATCACTCTTTTTTTTCTAGGGAAAACCCCCATTACATTAAGGTCTACAAAATAGAGTTATTGTTGTTTTCAAGTTTTTGTTGAAAAGCTTTTCTCTTTTTTGGTTAGCACTTAATGCTTGTGAATGAGAGAAATGTTCTCATGAGGGATGGGAATATACCCAATTCATTTGAAGCAACAGTGATGCAAAAAGTATAGATTTTTATTAATGCCTGGTGTTTCATGTGAAAATTTTGTTGAGGGAAAGAATGTCTTGCTGTAAGCTCTGAGGAAAACAGAAAATTTAAGTGGATAAGTGAGTGATCTAGCTGACTCTGAAAGCATTCTATGGAATGGATATGGAAATAAAATTCTTATGCCAAGTTGGCATGTGAAAACCAATAGCTTTGAAGTAAAAAAGGAATTCGAGCTTTTTATTCTTGTCAAAGAAGAAAGTATAAAGCTGATTGGTGAATGAACTAGCTAGTCTGCTTTCATGTGCATAATAGGGGGACTTGAATTACCTGCTCTGAAGTTCATCTCTCTAGGGTAATGTATATTGGTGATAATATTGGAATATCTGTAATTAGGCACTGTGAACATGGGTAGTTGGCCTGGACATTTGATATTACTCAGATGATCAAGGACACGGTATAATACACATTGGACCAAAGATGTATTTCCAGATCTCGGGAAGCTTAAGCGCATTAACCCTGTGCCTATAGGATTTGGGTTGTGTTCTCATTGAGTGAATGAATTCTGCAATTTTCTGTGGGGATTTGGTAGAGGGGAAAAAAAATGAATTATTTATTTGAAAATATTACTGAATGCAGAGTTTGATTTGTTCTAATGATTTTAATACTAATTCTCTGAAGTGGACTGTTTGTGACATTTTATGGTAAGTATTTGTATTGTAAGATAGATAGAGGCATTTTGTTTTGCTCCTTTTTTTGGGGGGGTGGGGGGTTGGGGTTGGAGAGGGATTCATTCAAATGGAGCCCTTATAAATATATTTGATCTTTATATAATCATTTCAGGCTCAGTGCCCTTACACCACTTTTTGGTACTGCATGGGGATAGGGCTGGTAAAATTGGGTAAATTAGCGACAGTTTAGGGAACATCGGGAAAATTATCCAACATTAAAACTCATCATATTTTTGATTTCTGTTTGTTTTGTTATTGATTTGTTTTCATTTTGCAATACACTGGAAAATGAGTAACAAGGTCAGTTATTATATATCCAAATATGTGTTCTTTAATTGGAGTTGGGGGGATGGTGTTGTTGGTAAGGATCACATTCAATTGGGAAAAAAAGGTACTACCTTTTTAGAATTGGGAATAGGACCTTTCATTGGCTCCAATTATAGTGACTCAATCATTGTAAATTGTAAAAAAGAAAAAAATGTTAAAATTAAAGGTATCTACAATTGAAAACTCATGGTAAAATGTTAAGGCAGAGATCAAACTAATGTAATTAAAGCACCAAATTTTCACGACACATTACTTTTGCAGGATTGTAATGTAATATTGTATTCATAAGCTAGATAAAATTTTCGCAAGTTCTGCTCATTTTTCTATATAATCTTAAATTATAATACTATTAAAGGCGAGAATGAAATTTTCATGAGCACACAGTCTCGTGTGTTTATGAGAAAATAAAGTTATTGTGAATGAAAAATGATATACAGTAGTAAACTAGCAGGGGATCAATATGCTCTAGATTAATAGCGCTTGACAAGTTGAGAACTGGGCAGTGAATAATCTATAAGTTAGGTTTACTGACATAGATTTACTTTCCCTTAAAAATC